AGACCTTTTATCACCAGTTTTGTTTACTTTATAAGAAGCTAGTGTGTTTTTAGCAAATGTATCATTATGTCAGTATTTAAGTGAAAAAATGTACTGTAGAAAATTTCATCTGCATAGAATCACAGTTGAAATCAACTGTGTAGAACTGTACTAATTTTTCGTACTTGGTCACTGTAATTAATTTTGAGAGTGATAAGTATGCATGGGAGAGAATGGATTAGTCTGGCTTTATTAATTGAAAGCATCTGGCTCCTGATAAGCTTTCTATTCTCTGTAAAGATTCTTTTTGCAGTACCACAAACACATAAGATAGATTCCCATTAGTATATTGAACCAGTTTCACCTCTGATGCATGATACCAATGACAAGTATTACTTAATAGAAACCTTAGTCCTCTGGAATACCTATCAACAACAAAATATCAGAATTGCTGGATCATGATTTTCAGTATTGTAAGGGAATTTCTTAATTTTGTTTTTAAAGAAAAAAAAATGGAAATCAAAAATTTAGCTGAATACTCTATTACTTTTGAGGTTTTTCATAAGCAAAAGCTTAATGCAGAGGTTAAACATTTCTGTTGACCCAAAATTATTAATATAATACTTTCCTACAAACCAACTCCAGCAAATATCTAGCAAAAGGTATCCAGTATGTTGGCTTCATTTAAACTCTCGGTGCATGGGAAAAAAAATGGGTGGTACATGGTGGGGGAATGGTTATTGGAACAAATAGAGGAAGTAATAAATCTTCAAATCATATACAGGACAGATTGGAACAATATAAACTCTCCAAGTTTTCTTAAATAATGTACCTAATAACTCTCTCCGGACAAGTAAGAAATCTGTTTTCAATTTCTTCTACTTCTAAGATAAATATAATTTATGTTAAATGGAGATTTTTTGTTGATTTTTTTTTTTTTGTGGAAGTTTTCAACCCAAAATTAATGTAAGTATCTGATCAGAAAATATTGTTTGAAAACCAGGAGGTTTTGTTGCAGTCATTGCTCAGGACATTCTTGTGACTTTATAAGAACAGCAAAGAGAAGAATAGATCATGTCCAGCTCCAGATCAGAACACTAAACTGAAACCGTGGTGCAGATGCCTTCTGACACTTCCAAAAGAATAAGTTCTGGTGCTCAAATGGAAGAGTACTTGACAGCCAAGTGTTTTATTTTCACTAGAGCAGATTGCTGTGAAACCCTACAGAATGAGAATCATAACAGGATTGAATTATTGTACCAGTTGTAGCTGATTTTAGTGGGAGGCTTTTGGAATAAATAACTTCTGGAGGTCTCTTCCAACCAGAATTATCTTATGATCCCCTGAACATTTCTTCTGCAATAGAGTAATTTGGGTTGAACACTCTAACTGGCTTGTAGTTTTCTCTTCAGCTTACCGATATTTTTGAAATGTGAACTCTAATTCATGACAGAAAAGAACCCATGTGAAATGTAATCTCCCAGGAAAGAAGTACATTTTCTGCACAAGGAATGAAGTGTAAGCACAAGAGCATTCAGGAAGACACCCTGCTAAAGCTAACAGCACAGGCACTGTACAAGAGAATTGCCTACAAGAACAAATTATTTCCATTATTAAAGATAATGCATCAACTATGCAAATGGAAAGTTAAATTTCTTAATTATTAATAAATAGGTGGAAACATTTTAAAATAACACCCATAGTTTAAAATCAGTCATCTTAGAAAACATAATTGCAGTCCAAGGACTCAATGCTCTGTACGTGTACTGCACCAAAATCTTTGGTTAAAATTGAGAAAAATCTTAGTGAAGCCAAAGCAGGCTCTCTGGCTATCCAGTTTAGCAGTAAAAGTTCATAACATTGAGTCCCATGTTAAATACAAACCAGTGTGATCAGGTGAAGTTCCTGATGACTGGAAGAAGGGTAATATAACCCCCATTTTCAAGAAGGGGAAGGTGGAAGACCCAGGGAACTACAGACCAGTCAGTCTCACCTCTGTGCCTGGCAAACTTTTGGAGCAGATTCTCCTGGAAAGCATGCTAAGGCACATGAAAAACAATGAGGTGGTTGGTGACAGCCAGCATGGTTTCACTAAGGGGCAATCCTGCCTGACCAATTTGGTGGCCTTCTATGATAGGGCTACAGAACTGATAGACAAGGGCAGAGCAGTTGACATCATCTACCTGGACTTGTGCAAAGTGTTCAACACTGTCCCGCACAACATCCTTGTCTCTAAACTGGAAAGACATCGATTTGATGGATGGACCACTCGGTGGATAAAGAACTGGCTGGATGGCTACACACAA